TACCTCGGGCATTGGTTGCGGGATTTGTGAAGACTGACAAGGAATTTCAGAGAAGAGGTCTGGAAATTAGTCATTATTCTATTTTGTTCTAGCTGAACAGAAATTTGTTCTTATGAAAAAAGATACAGAACAGGGGAATTGGGAATTTTTCCATTATTCTAATTGATATTGTGTTGTGATTTATCTGTTATCTCCAGGAGAAACTTCTGGAACCACGGCCACGTTTGTGATAGTGGATAGGTGGACTGTAACAGTTGCTTCTGTCGGAGATTCCCGTTGTATACTAGATGTGCAGGGTGGTGCTGTTACCAACTTAACTGTTGATCACAGACTTGAGGAGAATATTGAAGAGTAAGTTTTTGCATTTGAGGAAAGTTCGTTAATTTTCCCTATATGCATATGGTAACAAGTTTCTGTGTTACAGGAGGGAACGTGTTACTGCAAGTGGAGGGGAAGTTGGAAGACTTAGCATTGTTGGTGGTGTTGAGGTAAGCATATTAGGTTGCAATATCACCTGTCATCTTAAAATGGGAGAGAGGAATAGCTTTATTTGGTTTCTTCTTTTCCCTTTTCAACATGTGATCTAAGGGTATATGGTTTAGCCTATCCTTATTATTTTAGATGTATGTTGCTGAATCTATGCAGATTGGTCCACTTCGTTGCTGGCCTGGGGGTCTATGCCTTTCTAGGTCAATAGGAGACATGGATGTTGGGGAGTTTATAGTTCCAGTACCATATGTCAAACAAGTAAAGGTATATTTTCTTTGCACTTTTCAGATAATCTCTTCTAATAAACCATCAAGTTGGTCCCTGATGTATCACTGGCTCCCCTACTGAAATTATATAACTAGTCCCTAAATTATTAAAAATCTTGCTACATAGACCCTCAAGAATTGAAAAATTCTTTAAATTAGTCCCTCAATATATAGATCGGAAGAATGTGAATGTGATGTGATTGTGGTTCTTCACACTTATGATCAGGGGTGAGCACGGTCCTGGATTGTTACATGGGTATCGTGACCTTGGATAACATGTTAGGGGTGAGCACGACCCTAGGTTAGGGGTAACGTGACCTTGGCACAGTGTTATATCAGGGTGAGCACGACTCTGGATTGTTATGTGGGTATCGTGAGCTTGGATAACATGTCAGGGGTGAGCACGACCCTGGGCTAGATATGCTACATGGGAAACGTGACCTTGGCACAGTGTTATATTAGGGGTGAGCACAACCTTGGATTGTTACGTGGGTATTGTGACCTTGGATAACATGTCGGAGGTGAGCACGACCTGGGACTAGATATGCTACAGGGGAAACGTGACCTTGCACAGTGTTATATCAAGGGTGAGCATGACCTTGGATTGTTAAATGGGTAACGTGACCTTGGCATAGTGTGAAGTGCAAGATTTGTGATGATTGGTGTGATTGCGAATTATGACGTGATAATGATGCATGATTGATCGAGTTATGATATTTTGAAATGTTTATGAATATTTTATTAAGTATATAGTTATAATGAGACTGAACTGGCTGCGAAGCAGGTTGTAAAGGTAATATGCCTTACAGGTTACAGCTATCTGCTTATCATTTGACATTGAAAATATTTACATGTTTGAAATTTCTCTGCATAATTCTGTGTTATAAGATCCTACTGTTTTTCAGGAAGCACTTAGAACAAGAGGGTTAAAGGATGATACAACTTGTGTTGTAGTTGATATAATTCCACCTGATAATGAATTGCCACTGCCACTGCCTCCCCCCAAAAAGCGGAACAAGTTGAGTGCTCTTTTGTTTTGGAAGAGGTCTCGCAACTCGGCTGGTAAGCTGTCAAAAAAGCTTTCAGCTATAAATATAGTGGAGGAACTATTTGAAGAAGGATCAGCAATGCTCGCGGAAAGGTAATCTTATTATCTTTTATTGGAAAATCTTTTTTCATTTTACAAATTTTTAAAACTCTCATGACAGTGCCCCGCATAATGTTTTCTTTATCAGACCTCCATTTTTGTCTCCACAGGACTTCTGTCTTTAAAAGTTGTGGTTAAAGTTATTATTTAGTTTTTTTCTATGGCGATGTGTGCGTCTGAGGATGGTATTCAAATTCAATGATTTATTCTGTCAGCATTGGAGCTAATTTATATGTAATTTATTCAATGTTTGCCATAGCACTTTCTGAAAGATATAGGGATGTGGTTGTAGAAAGACACATTATATGATCCAATTTAAAATGCAAGGGTTTATATATACTTTGGAAATACATTTTTAAAACATTTTTGTTCATAAATGTTCAATACTTTGTATGTCTTGCAGATTAGGAAACGATGAAAACTCAGGTCAATCAACATCTGGCATTTTCGTCTGTGCCGTGTGCCAGGTTGACCTTGCTTCAAGCGAGGGCATTTCGGTCCACGCAGGTTCCATTTTCTCCACCAGCTCAAAGCCATGGCAAGGTCCTTTTCTGTGTGCTGATTGTCGCAACAAGAAGGATGCTATGGAAGGAAAACGCCCTAGTGGAGTTAAAGTGTCATAGCTTACAATTCATTGGTTTACTTCTATTCTTTATGCCTTCATTCTTTTTCCTCTTTCTTTTGTATAGTTGTGTTGCCTAATGTGCCACAAAATACCTTTACTCAATATTCCTGTAAATAGATTTCCATCACGTTTTCAACCATGGATAAAAATCATCAATCCTTTAATCTATTGGTGAAGAGGGTGAGGTCTCTTTCACTTAAAAAAGTCCATTAGTATTCAAAAACTGAGATTTTAATGAATTATTTTGAAGATGAATTTTGTGAGGCTTTTTATTAGAATTTATATACAATTCACTCATCTAACAATGATTTTACATGACATTTTTATTGTTCTATTTTTTTTTCTCCTTCATCTTTTATTCTTGTTTCTCTCTTCTCTTCATATATCTTATTTATCTCTTCTTTTTCTTTATTTTTTCTCATATCATCTTTCTATCTATCAATATTTATATAGGTTAAATTATATTTTTAATCCCTTTATTTAATTTTAGGATTCAATTTTTTCTCATTGTTTTTGAAAGGTTCAATTTGGTCCTTAAATTTTTAAAACATGTTTAATGTTACCTTTTCGTGTAAATTGACATTAATGAAATTAGGTGAAAATTAGAGGACTAAAATGAACATTTTGAAAATAGTGAGATCAAATTGAATACCGATTATTTTAAATAATTTAATTTGACCATCTAAAATTTTTAAACGATGTTCAATGTTATCATATCATTGAAATATTAATATTGTTAATGTCAATTTCAATGAAAGAATAATATTGAACATTTTTAAAAAATTAAAGGACCTAATTGAACTATTTAAAAATAGTGAGACCAAATTGAATCTTAAAAATAAATAGAGGGATCAAAGGCGTAATTTAGTCATTTATGTATATTTAATCAATTTTTGATTTTTTTAATTATTAAATATTCAAATAATTTTTAAATTGTTAATTATTATCTATTGTTAAAATTTTTGAATTATTTCTAATGTTTATTTTCAATTAAATTTCATATTAAAATTTCATATTTTTAAACATATGTTAAAAAAAATTATATATGGTGAAAATTAAGTATTCAAAATTTAAGAAATTTAAATTAAATTATCCAATCAAAATAATTAAATTTTTAAGCATATCAAATTTTAAATTTCCTCATTTTAAGAAATAAAAATTAGTATGTAAAATGTACCTTTGATAGTGGCATCTAGGATGCCAACAGTTGAATTGTGGATGTGCTTTGATATTGTGACTTCGGGGCAGAAAATTCTAGGATATGGAATTTTTATATGGACTTGGAGTTGTATTTATTATTTTTAAAAATAATTTGTAGACTCTTATGTTTTATTTTCCGATGTTCATTTTTCAATCATTTTGGATATTGAAGAACATTTGTGAAGGTTTTTATGTGAACCCTTTTACCAACTTTGAAAGTTTATTTTCCTTAGTTTAATTACATTATTACGATATATGTGTTGGGGTAGTAAGGGTGTCACATTTAGTGGTATCAGAGCAGGTCGATCCAATCGGCCGTGAGTTATGAGTCTACTATGCTTGTTTGGTAGATGAATGATGGAATGCATTGATTGTGAAGCTTATAAGTGTGATAGTGTGATGATTAATTTTGTTTGTTGTTTATTTAAATTATGTGTATTGTTTTCTTAGAATTTGATTGATAGACATGATATAGCTTAGAGGATGCTATTTATGATTGTTTTTCTTCATTTTCATGATTCCTTATTTATTTTGATACTTCTTGGTTATGTAAGAATTAGTGGTTGGGTGGTATCGCTCGTGTTGTGAGCATAGGTGCAAGTAGTAGTGGACGAAGTATCGTCCTAATAAATTAGAAAATATTGGAACCTTGGATGTGGGTGAGATATTGAATTGTCGAGTGTACTGAGTGTTTAGGGTTGATAGAGTTTCTGAAATCTATAGTTTTAGTGATTAAATCCAAGAGGTTGTATGTTGAGAATTAGTGTTTTGAGTGTTCTTGATGAGAGGCTGAAGTATTGGGGATTTCTTTGAGTTTGATGCATGCAGATTAACCTTTTATGGTTGTGGTAGCATATTAGGTTTATTTTCTAAGTCTTTTGTGATGAATATGTGAGTTGTTTTGGTTTAGGATTGTAGTGGTAAACTTGGATATTAGTTGTGGTGGAAAGGAGTGGGTTTGGAAGGATCAAGATATTTTCGTGGGCTTAGGTGTTGATACACTATTGCTGTCTAGTGTAGGGGATGTTAGCACTACAGTTTTGTTGTGCCAGTACAAGTGTTATATTGACAGAATTAAAATTTGTGGTCTTCATAAAAGTTGTAGCCTTGGACGTTATCTTTCTAATGGCACCGGAATCAGGTAAAACGAAGGTTTAAAACTACAATTATAGTTGCTTTGGTGATTAGAAGTCTAGTTGTTAGCGCTGAATATATTTGTTGTGGTTTTTGAATTTTTAGCCAAGAAGATAATCTTTTTAGAATCTCATGTCTTCATAAGGGTTGTAGCTTATTCTCTTAGCTTTCTTTTAAGATAAGTTTGAGATCATTTGGATGAGTATAACTCTCTAGGTATCATTCTCTTTGGCAATTGTTGAAGGCATACGTATGGTGTCATGATGTTTTGAGTTGTTAGGCAATGCAAGGATAAAAACTGATTTGGTTATGATGTTCTGAGGTGTTTTCATGTAGATTAAGAGGTTGTTTAAGATAGTATGATGCTATGTGGTAAAGTTGGTTCATGTACATGCTATATGGAGTAAATGGTGATTGATTCATATATGCTTAGGAATGGTATATATGAATGTTTAAATAGGTATTCTAATATGATTCGATATGCATGTGTGTTGATATGAGGATAAATGACTTTATGGATCGATTAGTGAATGTTTGTGTGTTTAGTAAGATTGACTTTAGGATGTGATATCATCAAATTAGAGTTGAGGATGAGGATATATACCAGACAGTTTTATGCTAGTTATCTAAAGTGTGATTTTGATTGTATGAGGTGAATGTTCTAGGTCCTGTAATTTCTAGAGGAGATATAACGTAGTTCTACCTAAGGTAGAAGTTGTGATTAAATGAGAGATACCAAAAGTTAATTAGTGAGGATAAGAGTTTTCTTATATTAGCTTATTATTATAGGAGAGTTATTGAGAAAATTTCTAGGATATCATTACCTTTGACTAGATTGACTAAGAAGAGTGTTGTCTTTGTGTGGGATAGTGTGAGATAGTTTCCAAACTCTAAGGGAAAGATTGGATAGTGTTACCGAATTTTAGTAAGTCTTATGTGGTATATAGTAGTGCTTCTAAGATAGGTTTGGGTGGAGTGTTGATGCAAGAAGGAACGGTAGTAGCTTATGCTTCTAGGAAATTGAAAATTCATGAGAGGAATTACCTTACCCATGACATTGAGTGAGCGGTTGTGATATTTATACTAAGATTTGGAGACATTACCTATATGATTCTAAGCTTGAGGTATTTAGTAATCGTAATAGCCTTAAATATTGTTTGACCCGAAGGAGTTGAATATGAGACAAAGGAAATAGTTGGAATTTCTTAAGGAATAAGATTTGGATCTTATTTGTTCTTTGAGCAAAGCCAATATGGTGACCAGTATTCTGAGTAGGAAACTTTATATTTATCTTCCCTTATAATTAGATAGATGGATCTTTTGGCTCAAATTAGGAATTTAAGTTTGACATGTGAGATTACTCCTAGTAGTGTGAAACTAGGTATGACTCGAGTAACGAGTGGATCGTTGAAAGAAATTGGAGAAGCATACTTAGTTGATTCATTTTGGTGACAAGATATGAGGCTATAGGACAAGGTAATGGATAAAAGTATGCTTTAGGTGTAGATGAAGTAGTAAAACTTTGAGACCGAGTATGTGTACCTAGTGAACTTATGTTTAGGTGTTTGATCTTTAGAGAGGGTCATAGAAGTAAAGCTAATATTGTGATAGATGCCTTGAGTAGGATGATCATTCATCTATCGTTTTTGATGATTTAAGTGTTGGATTTGATTGAGGAGGTTAGAAACTTAAGTGGATGTGTAAGCTCACCCTTAAGAGCATTGGATTAAGTATGTCAAAAGCGACTAGTGAATTAATGAATGAGATTAGAGAAGCCTATGAGTTAGATCTTTTCTTAGTGAACCAAGTGGAGAGGAATGGTAGGGGTACAGATAGCCCTTACAAGTGGTGGTTGATGGTGTTTTAGGGGTTCAAGGATAGAATCCATGTGCCTAGTAATCCTGAATTAAGGAAGATGGTCGTAGAGGAAGGACATAAGAGTACTCTTAGCATTCATTTAGGAGCTACTAAGATGTATTAGAGTGGTGCAACGGAAGCGTGGAGGTCTAAGGTGAAGAGAGACGTAGAGTAATTTATGTACTCGTGTTTAGTACACTAGAAGTCTTTAGAATTTTACAGCCTTTGGACGTCCCATTTTAGAAGTAAGATAGTGTGTGAATAGACCTTGGTTGTAGTTTTGCCTGATTTGCTTAAGAAATTCAATACTATTTGGGTTATAGTGGATAGACTCACCGAGTTTACATGTCTTACCTTTATTTGATTTCTTGGAGGAATTGTTAGAGTTGTACATCAATAAGGTAGTGAGGTTGCATGGGAATTAGAAAACAAGATGTGAGGAGTTTTCCCATTGTTGTTTTCAGGAAAATTTCGAGGAAAAAATTTCATAAAGGAGGGGAGAATTGTAACACCCCAATTTTTATACTTTTATTGAGAGTACTTTAGTAATTTTTAGGGGGTGATTTAGTAGCCCAGAACAGGTCGTTCCTAAATTGGAACAGGTCGTTCCAAACTACTAAAAAGACCTATTTTTGGTAGCCCAGAATGGGCCATTCCCAAACTGGAACGGGCCGTTCTAAACCACCAAAATGACCTATAACCCTAGATTGGAACGGGGCGTTCCAAAGATGAGAACAGGCCGTTCCAGAGATGAGAACGGCCCATTCCAAATATGACCGTTATGGGTTTAATTGTAACCCCAGAACGGGCCGTTCTGGTTTGAGAACGGGTCATTATGGATGTGAATTTTACACATGACGTGAGATTTCAGAACGAGCCATTCCGAATTTGAAACGGGCCGTTCAGCAAATCCTGATGCCTATAAATTAAGTGTTCTGGCACTCCCAAAATCATATTTTTCAATTCTGACTTCTTTCTTCTACATTCTCTTCTTTCCCTTCTACACTCTCTGAAGACCGAGGGGCACTTAGAGGAGGAGACCAAGGAAATCTCTGTTTTAGTTT